ACAACACACACACACACGTATATATGTATAAATATATAGTGATTTCCTAAGCATAGTTTAGTTGTGGTACAAGGCCGAGATTAAGGAGCACCCTGTGAGGATCGAACTTATTATTCAGTCGTAATCGATCTGACGAGATAAACTTGCTGACCATTACGCTATATCGAAGTGCCCGTGTGCGTGTTGCATCTGTGTTTGTGTGTATGTGTGTCCCTGTGTATGCCTGTGCCTATATCTGTACACGTGCGCATGTGTGTCCATGTGTGTATGTGTACACATGCTTCTGTGTGCCCATGTGTGTGCCTAGTGTGTGTCCATGTGTGTGTGTGTGTGCCTAGTGTGTGTCCATGTGTGTGTGTCCATGTGTGTGTGTCCATGTATGTGTGTGTGATTGCGCACACAGACACACACATATATGAATACAGTGAGAAAGAAAAAGGATAAAGAGCCTGGGTACCTGCCGTAGAGTTTTCAGGTGATTCATTTCCAATGTCAATGCTCATGAGTTCTAACCTTAGTGATGGTCATACAGGAAGGATTTTATTACTGACCTGCACTAAGTACATGTGTATAGAGATGCTGTATCAAAAATTAGGAAGGCCTTTGAATATAACCGTTATTACTTACTTTGCTTTTTAGAATTTGACAATAAAAAAAGGAAAGAAAAATTAAGATTCTATAGTAGAAGACACAACTAACCAATTATAATTTAAAAAACTTTTTTAAAAATTCACTCGCCGAAAATCTTGATTAAGACGCAGGTAGACAAGGACTAAAAAGAAGATTTTAAATTGACAGCCATGTGAATATGAATGATGCTAATATAAAAAAACAAAAGTTCGAGACAAAGAGGGAAAAAATATAACAGAATGAAAACTGATTGGCTCATGCGTCAAGTTTCAGACGATAACGCAGAGTGAAAAGAAACCAGGTGACGAGAGTTCGGTCCTGGTTGACGATCAATAGAAATGCCCTCATAGTTATCTAGGTGAAGCGACTTGCTTTTCTCGATTTGGAGTTGAGTTCAAGATACAATAATAGCGTCGAATGAAAGAGAAAGCTGAGTAGTAGTTGCACTAGTTTATGACGAGAAGTTAGAAACAGCGTTATATGTGAGACTGAAGAATTCTTTAACAGGACTGTGTAAATAGATGGAGGCATAGCAATACACGTTGATAATTTTATCCCAGAAATCAAATAATCTATACTCTTTTTTTTTTTTACGTTATATTTTCTATGCTGTAAGCATAACACTTAAAATAACACTGGTTAGACAATTGTAACCATGAATAAATATTTTTAATTTAATAAATACTGTTTTCATACCTGTTGGACTCTTGCCAATTATGTTTTCATTGATTGCTTTCTCTGGAGATCAAGTGACAGCAAATCTACTCAATTATTACAACAATGATATAATATTCACCCTACTTTCATAATGTTATCATCTGGGTGTTTATTATTATTATTATTATTTTATTTCTTTCGATTTCTGGTGTGTATACATTTTGTTCTGGGCCCCGCCCAGAAACCTAAGGTTAGAAATGGCATCATGAAATTTTCCACTGACACACATAAAAAAAAAATATTTTACATAGATAAAGCCCTTCGTAAGGTGTGGGCTGTACTCGTGAGAGTACAATTTTTTTGCATTTCTTTAAGACATGGGCTTGCAGTAATCCCGTCAATTAGTCTACTGAAATCTTTTCCAACCAATCCAAGGGTTCCAACTACAACAGGGATTGTTGATGTTCCCATGTGCCACATTTTTGAGATTTCGATTTCAAGGTCCTTGTATTTTGATAGCTTTTTGAAAATCTTCAACGATACATTGCTTGTCCGCAGGAATTGCCATATCAATAAGGAGGCAGTTTTTTTTGTTTGTGGTCTCTAATAACAGTGTCTGGGCGATTGGCTTTGATTGTTCTGACAGTGTGTATTATGTAGTCCCATAGAATTGTAACAGGTCCTATCTCCGTAACCCGGACTGGGTGGTGTTCATACCAGTTTCTTTCAGTTTCCTTCCCGTAGAAGTTACAGATTTTGAAGATATTGGCCAACTCTGTCATGCTGGGTTTTATATTCAGTGGGTGCCAATACCGTGCAACCTATTATTATTATTATTATTATTATTATTATTATTATTATTATTATTCAAGTATTTGCAAACCAGATCTCTGATGATCCTCGCTGACTCCTGATTCACGAACTGATCTCCTCAAATCTCCAGCCCCCCCTTTTTTTTACAGTATCTACGATTTTGGACCATGCTCCAATTTGGTATTTCTAAAATACTGGTGTCCCCCAGCACTGTAATATTTAATTCTTACATGTATGCCAGTTACATATGTACGTACATACAAACAAAATATTTTTATATATGCATCTTTAGTATTAACACGCTTTAACATTAACACTCTCACTCAGATTCACTAGAAAACAATTCACTGTTACTAACTCTTTCAGGAATTGCCCCCATATTCTGTTGGTATAGTCAGCCGAAGGGGGCACATGCTGCACATGCCCCAGAGTTGGGAAGCATGCCCCTACGCCGATACAAACACTGTTCTGCTAAGGACTTCTAAAACTTTCTTTGCATTTCAATCTCATTCAGTTTTGATTTCATTGATTTGATTGTTATGGTCCCTAGTATAAGCTACTATTCTGCAATATGAACAAATTTGCCTCAGCTACCGAGCAGGGTCCTGGTATTTCTCCAATGGCTCACCAATTTTCTTCTTATTATTATTGTTATTAAATTGTTGTTATTATTATTATAAAAAGTTGTAAAATCAGTCATTTTCGTTTCTTTCTTTGTTTCCTTTTATATTTCCTTTTTTTTATCTTTTTTTTTCGTTTATTTTTTCTCTCCTCTTTTATTTTTGGCTTTTTTAAATATCTTTTTTGTTGTTTGCTTCTTTTTTAAATACTCCTTTCATTATATTCCTTTATCTAATTGTTCAATTCTATCTTATCTCGACATATCTATCTATCTATTCATATATATATATATATATATATATATATATATATATATATATATATATTTATTCGAAAATTATAACATAAATATATTATAAAATCATTACAAAAATAGCCATTTTGTTTGAACACTCCTGGTGCCTTATCAAGTGATGCTGTTGAATGTAGAATAAACGGTCTTTTTTATAGTAATATTATAACAAATTTATGTTATAATAATTTTCGAATAAATTATATTGGCTCTACTCTGTATTGAGCACTCTTTTAAGAATAATATTTTTTGGTTATTGGAATTTATTCAATATACACCAATCCTATACTTGACATATATATATATATATATATATATATATATATATATATATATACACGTTCTGTTCATGACCAATCTACCTATCTATCTATGTCATATATATATATATATATATATATATATATATATATAAAGTCTATTCATATCTATCTATCTATCTATGTATCTATCTATCAATCTAAGTCTACTTATATCTATCTATCTCGGTCTGTTCATTATCTCTATCTGAATCTATTCATATCTATCTCAATTTGTTCATTATCCCTCTCTCTATCTATCTATCTATCTATCTATCTATCTGCCTCAGTCTATTAGTCGGTCTTTTTTTCTGTTTCTTTCTTTTACTAACTTCCCTTCTTTATATTTCTTTACCGATCTGTTCAAATCTGTCAAAAAATCTATCTATCTATCTATCTATCTATCTATCTATCTATCTATCTCTGTTCATATCTATCTTTGTTCATATCTATCTATCTAGCTAGCTAACTAGCTCTGTTCATATCTATCTGTCAGTCTATCTATTTATCTATCTATCTCTGTTCATATCTATCTGTCTGTCTATCTATTTATCTATCTCTGTTCATATCTCTCTATCTAGCTATCTAGCTAGCTAGATAGCTAGATAGCTCTGTTCATATCTATCTGTCTATCTATCTGTCTCTGTTCATATCTATCTATCTATTTATCTATGTTCATATTTATCTATCTCAGTCTGTTCATATCTATCTATCTATCTATCTATCTACCTTTGTTCGTATCTAGCTAGCTAGCTAGGTAGCTAGCTAGCTCTTTTCATATCAATCTGTCTATCTGTCTCTGTTCATATGTATCTATCTCTGTTCATATCTATCTATCTATCTATCTATCTCAGTCTGTTCATTATCAATCTATCTATCTATCTATCTATCTATCTATCTATCTATCTATCTAATACTACGTGGAAATAGCTGCACATTTGAATAAGTTTTTTTCCTTCTCTCCTTTCCTCCTTTCGTTGTTCATCATTTCTCATCATGTGTCTTTATTTCCATCTTTAAAACCAAACGTACCCAAAAGATATTCATTCACACATTCTCAGTAAACGCGCGCATAAAACGTGTCCTTGAAGAACATTGCCTCAAGTGACTGAAACGAACCCCACACTCCTGCAACAACAGTTTCGGTGGAACATCTTCCAGAAGAAATGTCGTTTGAGCGTCTTAAACAGATAATAATCTAAAGTTGTCCAGACAGGTCTCTGTTCTTTTTTATTATTTCTATTTTTATTCATTGAGCTTTCAAATCAAATCTATGTTACAAGTTCCACGTTAATCTCGCTTGTCTTAGTAATGCTATTGTTAGAGTACCATCGTTTCTTCCTCGGACTTGTAATCATTTCAATACTCTTTGTCAGGTTCTTTTGTATTGTTCCAAGCTCGCTGATAATGATGAGTAAAATTATCACCATTTTTAGACGATTTTGCTCTGTGATCATTGAATAAAAATCCAATGTACAAATTGTTAATACTTTGCAAAAGATGGGGAGAGCCGTAACCACTTGATATGGTTACGGCTCTCCGCATCCTTTACATCAAGTGGCGCAATTGAGGTTTCAGCAGTAGCAATATTATAGGGGCTTTGTTTATGTTGTGGAGTAGCTGAATACCCCCACAAGATGGCTTGGTATAAAACAGCACTCTCTCTTACAGAGGTAGAGGAGTCAACGATTAGATTTCGTTAAAACTCTGCTATTCAACCTCTCTGCCAGACGTGATTACGCATATGGGTAGATATTCGTCTGGGCAGGTTCTTTTGGATTGTTCCAAGTTCGCTGATAATGACGAGTAAAATTATCAACATATTTATTCAATTTTGCTTTATGGTCATTGAATAGAAATTCAATGTACAAATTGTTACAACATTAGGCTTCAAATCCAATAGACTGGCTCATTGCATCTTCTCGAATTAACGTTTTCCATTGACATGAAGCGAAAAAAATATATAAAATCAATTATTAGGTCTTCTTCTCGGAAAATTGGTTCACTGTATCCTGCTAGATAATTTTTCTCGTCAGAATCAATCTTACATATTTGTGAGTTTACAATTCGTCATTCTGTTGCTCCTGCTACATATTTAGAGATTCTTGATAAAATCCAAAATAGAATCCACGATGTTTTTGGTCCTGACCTGGCATCTCGGTTTCGCCCGCCTTCCCGCCTCCCTAACGTCGCTTCCCTCTGCCTTTTCTATAAATACTTTTGTGGTAAATTTTATGATGAATATTCTTCTATTGCGTCTTAGTGGCCTTCATTGTCTTGCTGGGTTTAATTTTCTTTTTTAAGTACGGCTCTGCCTGTTGCTCTACGTCGTTTATAGTAAGTGGAAACAAAAACAAATTGTGTATGAAAAATATAGCTAAATATTAAGATCCTGCTCGTGAATTGATGAATCTGTATAATATAGAGGCAAATATACTCCCTAAAACCATTTTTTAAGCATTTCACCCCAAGCAAGGCGGGAGAGCCACTAGCATGCAAACGGTTACAGAGAGTAAGAGCAAGAGTAAAGAGGGGGTGTTTGAGGAAAGGATATAGAGAAGGACGTGGATCAGGATCAAGGCATCAGATGTCGATTGACATTACATTTGAATATTTGAAGATTATAGTTATCAGGGAAGCAAGTAAGAGGAAGGGAGTTCCACTGTCGGGAAGTGCGAGAGAAGAAGCTGTTGGAGTAGAAGAGACGGTTACCTTTACCCGTTTCGACAGCGAAAGGGTGGGACCGAGATGCCAACCTAGTATTACCTTTAAATTCATGCATTTTGGGAACCATCGTCGGAGAAGTTGCCGTTAAAATACTTGGAGAAAAGACAGCGGGAGGCCACATCACTTCTGTGAGAGTGTGACTGCAGACGAGATGCCAGATCAGGACCTATCATATTGTAAATCCGTAATTCGACTTATTTAATGCCGAATAAATGTTGTATAGGACATTATAATGAATACATAAATAGTTAGATAAAATGGACATCTCCTAGCTTTACACAAGTGTTATAAATGTAGATAATAGATCCTTTATATTCGTGTCTGCAAATATCTACTCAGAATGTTGGCCTCTTTTGGTAGGATGTCTTATCTCGTAGAATTAATCCATTTGCAAAGAGTAAACATCATAGCAAATGTCGCAGGAACATATCTTTTGTCAGGTTAGCAGTGTGTGGAGTAACGTTGCTCGGTATCTTGATGGCGCCCTCATGCAAAATATAGCAATTTAGGAAACTTGCACAGTTTATCATCTTAAATGCAATATTGTTTGTTTTTTTTTCTTTTTGAAAAATTTCGACATCGTACACGAGTGTTGTAACCGGCTTAAGTTCTTCCAATCCCAACGCCTTTGTTCACGTCATGCTTCTACGACAGACAAATTTCTTTTCATCTAGCTTCATTATATGAGGAACAGCAGTCGTAACTTCATTTCTAGAAGGAAGAAAGAGAGTGAGAGAGAAAGAGAAGTGGAATGCATGTCAGCCAGTTGGTCAAAATCTCATTTCTACGTGCTAGATTGTTTCACTAAGGAATCTCGGTATGCTGAAATATCTTAATCATTCTAATACTTGCAGCCGCCTCGGCGTCTTAGAACCTTTTTTGGCCGTTCTGGGTAACAGCAGAGCCTCACATCAGGAGGTTTTCAGGAGCGTGGAACCACCTCTTAATTGATGGTGATCACAGGTCCACCCTGACCCGGGGTGGTAGCACCTGTAAGGGGGTACCAGCTAAGGGCAAATAAATAGCTGGGATCAAAACAAAATGAAAGTGTAAAAATAGTTTTTAATACCAGCAATACATTTTTGTAAAAAATTAATTCCAAGAACGAATCTTTGAATTAATTATTACCAGCGTTACTTTTTTGGAAAAAAATTATTACCATCAATTTTTGAAAATAAAAATATTGCCAACAATACATTTTTGAAAATAAAAAAAAGTTACCAACAATACATTTTTGAAAAAAAATTACCAACAATAAAAATATTGTCGGCATTAAATTGCTCATTGTGATTGCTATAAAACAAACGAAATCAAACCAAACCTTTTTTGTTCAAAAACTTAAACAAAGGCACACCAGCACTTTCAGCATTTCACGCGAACGGAGTTCAATGATCTCCATTCAGTTTGGAGTTCTGACCAGTAGTTTGCCATTCTGGACCAGCCTATGCATTTTGTAACACTTGCAAATTTGATTAGTCTTTATAAACGCACTATAATAAACGGAAACTTGCGTTCTTAGATATTTGCTACAAATATATCATGATGAATTTCTGTAGAAAGATTCTACAAAAATATTATTGCATCTTGCAGCTTTGATATTGGCTAAATTTTTATGGCGATAGTTACATTGTTTTGCTGTTAAATATGCATGTCTTCATTATTAATGTTTGGTTGGGTGTTACAAGATGTTGAATATGCCATAGTTCTTTGAATTTATAATGTTCACAAAGTCTTAACTCCAGTAGATTGTCGTCTGGATGTATTTTGCTTTTCTTTCCTCCATTACTTTGCTTTTCTTTCGTGTTAATTCATTTTGCTTTTCTTTCTTTCATTATTTTGTTTTTCTTTCATGTTAATTCATTTTGCTTATCTTTCTTTCATTATTTTTCTTTTCTTCCCTTCATTTTTCTTTACAATTATTGTCGTTTATTCTTTCTTGTACTTTTTTCTTGCTTCTTCTATGATTCGATTTATTCTCTTCCCTTTTGGCTTTATTTCATTTTTCTTTTGTATTTCCTAACACAATCAAGTTAGAATTATGCATCTTCCTTTTTTGTAAGTTAGTAAATTATCACGTATTCTCGTCATTACCTCATGTAAATAACGGACCATTCCTTTTTAATCGTGAGGGAGAAAGAGATATATCAGAGACGCTGTTTAATTTTGATGGAAGAAAGAAAGAAAGAAAGGATGGTGAAGACGATAATACTCACATTCATTTAACGTCTGCTTCAGTGAAATGAAAAAATTCTCAATCTGAATGTTTTTCATTTGTATTCTCTTACTTCTTGACATAATGATTTGCATTTATAATTACAAGTACGACGATAATATTTTGTTAAAGATATTTATGCAATGTCAATCGCTATCTACTGTCCTAATGATTACTCTTTCCTCTTCCCGCTCATTATTAATGTTTATGTTCCTAATTCTTCCATACCATGTAACCCCTTGTGTCTTAGAGGCTTTACTACCTTTCCTGTGGAACTCCCTTCCAATTCCATGCGTTCCAGCCATCTTTAATCTTCAATAATTTAAATGCAATGTCAATCCCTATCTACTGTCCACCTGATTACTCTTTCCTCTTCCCGCTCATTATTGAAGTTTCTGTTCCTAATTCTGCCAAATCCAGTAACCCCCCCCCTTTGTGTCTTAGCGGCTTTATTGCCTTGCATGGGGTGATATCGATTAGAAAAATATCAAGCTCAAATATTTAAGGATCCGATAGCGGTAATTCCACATGTATTTTTAATCGTAGAAGTCGCAAGGTTATGATTCAAATTATTAAATTCAGAATAAGGATTCACCAAAAAATTCAAAAAAGGAAATCATTAAATTTTCACAGATTCTTAAAAAAAAAACATTCATTTTAATAACTCCCTACATTTTCTTTCTTTCTACCCACTCTCTTTTCGTTCTTTTCATATTTCTAGCAGTCAATTTTTCAAAGACGGCATCAATGATTTACACATAATGAACCTCGCTTGCTCTAAATATAAATAACTGCAAGACATTAAATTTAGCCCTAAAAACTGATATTTGACATATATTCACCACGCGTGCTATTTTAGAAAATCTTAAAAACTGCACGTCAAACCGACTTTGATCTCCTAGAGTCTCCCACACGATTCCACCTGTTATTTCTGTCGGAAAGTACCAAATATTTTTTTTTCTTGCATTTTCCTTTAACAGTCGCAGATAATATTATTTATGGGTGACAATTCACAAGCAGCAGTCGTTTTTGTTATGACTGATGAGGTTCGCGTAGAAAATGCTGCACTGACTGTAATTCGCTTAATCATATTGCAACAACGATATTAGCTAAAGATCGTAGTAGGAGTTGGGGCAGAAGGTGGAGTTGAGGCCGATTAGTTGTCGTGCGGATAGGGAAAGACGATGAAGAGGAAATCTGGGCGAAAAAAAACGGATGTCGTAAAAAGGATAGACGAAGAAAGACCTAAAATGAAGATTAAACAAAGAATGGTGGAAGACATTAGCATGCGAGTAAAAAATATCGAAATGTATTCATCTTATTCTTATATTTACGGAAGCCGGTCGGTCCGAAAAAAAAACAACTTTCAGTACACCCTCATAGATAGATAGATAGATAGATAGATAGATAGATAGATAGATAGATATGCTCAGACTGACATAGATAGATAGATAGATAGATAGATAGATAGATAGATAGATAGATAGATAGATAGATAGATAGATATGCTCAGACTGACATAGATAGATAGATAGATAGATAGATAGATAGATAGATAGATAGATAGATAGATCCTCTGTTTTGGGCAGAGTGTATTCAGTGGCGACTCCTTAAAAGGATATAGTTGCAACTGAGGAAAATTATACTGAGAGGTGCCTGTGTGAGAGGGAACAGATGCCCGAGGCCGCGCCCTCTCATTGCACCAGAGGGAGGGATCGGTGCTCGCTCCGAGGCCAGCGCAACCGGGCTGCGCGCAATTTTTGTTCCTGGTCCGGTTGTACGCGCTCGGGTTCCCACCTTAAAGAAAAACACCTTGTGTCACAACTCGTCTTAGTTAGGAGACAGAGTAAATACCTAGAAAATGATAAGACTGACATATACAGAGAGATCGATAGAGATATATATGAATAAGTGGTGATAGATAGATAGATAGATAGATAGATAGATAGATAGATAGATAGATAGATAGATAGATAGATAGATAGGAAATGACAAGACTGGTATAGATAGAGAGATCGATATATAGATATGAATAAGTGGCAATTTCAAGCTGTTTCATGCTAGACGCAATCGTCAGGCGGCCTGATCGTGAAGCCTTGTTCAGTGATAATTCTCATGCGTAAAATATCACAAAACGTTTTTAAAATGGTCTCCCCCATTAGTAGCAGCATCTTGTGAATTGCTGAAAATTTTGCCCATCTTTCTCCGTTTTCAGTTATAGAATTATTAACTCAAAATGCGTCAGTTTTGACACTCATATTGTCGAAATAATAATATTGTCAAAATACTAATATTGTCAAAATACATTCAAAGATGAATATTTTTTTAATAAATTCGATCAAATATAAACGCTTCTAATGCCATCATTAGCGTCCTGGGTAAGACGTTAAACGACATCCGCGTCATGGGTAAGACGTTAAACTATGTCCAACAGCAAGGCCTCTGATCAGGAGGTTTTGAGGAGCGTGGAACCACCTCTTAATTGCTGGTGTTCCCAGGTCCACCCTGACCCGGGGTGGTAGCACCTGTTAGGGTCCCAGCTATGGGAAAATAGTTAACTATTATCAGCAATACTTTTTTGAAATAAATTATTACCAGCAATACAATTTTGAAGGAAATATATTACCAGAAACAGATTTTTGACAAAACAATTATAATACCAGCAATAACAAATTTTTGTCAGCATTAAATAACCCATTGAGGTTGATATGCCGTAAAACAATATAAACGAAACCAATCTAAACCAAAGAATACATATTCTATTCATACGAATTTATCCTAAAAATGTTGTCGGCATTAAATAACCCATTGAGATTGATATGCCGTAAAACAAAATAAACCAAACCAATCTAAACCAAAGAATACATGTTCTATTCATACGAATCTATCCTAAAAATGTTGTCGGCATTAAATAACCCATTGAGATTGATATGCCGTAAAACAAAATAAACCAAACCAATCTAAACCAAAGAATACATGTTCTATTCATAAGAATCTATCCTAAAAATGTTGTCGGCGTTAAATAACCCATTGAGTTTGATATGCCGTAAAACAAAATAAACCAAATCAAACTTATGCCATCTTTGGATAACAAAACATGATTGATTATATCAACGTATCGATCACTATTGGAATCATTTAAAGCTTTAAAATATTTTGTATACAGGTTTCTTGGTCTTTATCTATCTCAGTATTTTCATATATCTCTTGCTAGGCGTTCATATCTGCTTCAGTCTGACTAAATAAATGATGTTCGAAAATTGATATATCGTATGATTGGGAGGTGTGTGTATATAGATATGTGTATATGTATGTTTATGTACGACTGAAGGCGGGAATATGGAAAGCCACGATATATATTTATTGAATTATTCATAAATCAAGGAATTTCATTTTTTTTTTGCGCATGGTTCTTATGTTTTTACTTCTCTGGCCGCAATAATTGAGAAGATTCTTACTCAGTGCACGGAAGCAGTAAGGAAAATGCCAAACCGTCAGCTTTGACGTGGTGCTAAAAATGGCGGGGCGTTCCACTTCTCTTGCTATTAATCTTTTCATTCACACCAGGGAGGTAATGTCGTCTCTATTTGAATTCACTCAGCAGGGGGGAAAAAAGCAATCGTGAAATTACAAATATCTATCTATCTATCTCACTGTTCGTATGAATTAATCTGAGTCTGTTCATATTTCCTCTCTCTCTCTCTCTATATATATATATATATATATATATATATATATATATATATATATATATATATATATATATATATATATATATATATATATCACTCTGTTCTTCTCTTCTTGTTCTATATTGGAGTTTCATGGGAATTTGGAATTCACAAGCGGTCCCCAACCTGCATGTATAGCACATGAGATTTGTTTATAGTGGTGAAGGTTTCGTGCAGGACCATCCACACTTTTTGAAGGGCCGATTACAGAGACCTGGTGCACTACGTGCCACAAGGTCCTCAAACGGCCCTCCGCAGGTTTTGAATTCAGAGTTGTCCTTCTCCTAGACCAGTTGCCAACCAAGAACCCAGTCTGTCCTGCTATTTACCCCTAGCTGGAGGAGAAGAAGAGGATTCGACTGGAATTCGAACTCTGCTCTCTCAATCCAAGCCGCTATCCATTACTCCACCGTGCCTCCTCTGTTCGTATGAAACTGTTCATATTTCTTTCTCTCCATATATATATATATATATATATATATATATATATATCACTCTGTTCTTACACATCTATCTGAGTCTGTTCATATTTATTTCACTCTATTCATATCTATCTGTCTATATTCATATTTCTTTCTCTCCATATCTATCTATCTGTCGATGGATCGATTTATCTATCTAACTAGATGTCTTTATAGACACCATCTTATCTTTATTTTTCTTAATTTTCTTTCTTTATTGGATTTAAAGCCCTGTGCCTTCATCTTTGTTGATGTATATGTTCATACCAAATTTGATGGTTGTGACTCGAAATTTAGTGAATCCAAGCCTTCTCAAATCTCGAGCACCTTTCCCAGTATCCTCCAAAATTGTATATCCGATGCAACTGCTGGTGCTTTTTTTTTTTTTTTTTTACAACAATGTTCATCCTGTACAAGGCCCAAGGGATACTAGGGGGTTACAGAGTAAGAGGTAAGAAGTACAGTTTATAGAGGTATGTGGGGAAGATAACGGTTCACCCTAAACTTGAACAGGTTGATTGTAGTGATATTGGAATCAGGCTCTTGGGAAATGGTTCCAAAAATGGATGGTTCGTGGGAAGAACCTGATCGGGTGGAACTTATACCCTCACCTACGGCGAATCGTAGCCGTCTGTGAAGCTTAGAAATGGTGGAACTAAAAAATGTTGTTCATCTGAGCACATTCCATGGAACTAGATTTAGAGTAGAGAGAGGCTTATATGGTTATCTTTCTCTTGAATTCGCATCATAAGCTCTCTCTGTCACTCTTTCTCTGTCACACACACACACACGTACACACAGACACACACACACACACACACATATATATATATATATATATATATATATATATATATATATATATATATATGAGATAACTGTATATTTTTATATATCAAGAATGGTATTGGGGACATTTTGTGACAAAGTGGAAAATGTTTACTTGGGACGAATTTTGATCTGTAGGAATTCATTGGATCAAATTTGTTAATTTTTTAGGGCTACCCATTCGCCCGATGCGCTGGGAATTTTAGAATTCTTTTTATTATTTTTATTTTTTATTTCTAACCAAATTTATTTAGAGTTTGCTTTTTTTGTTTTGTTTTGTTTTTTGTTTTGTTTTTTGGGGGTTTTTTGGCTTTTTTTTGTTTTGTTTTGTTTTTTTATTCCCTCACTTTTATAATTCGGTATCCCACACTGTGATACGATTGCCAGGAATGGTAAAATCTTATAAGAGCCAGGTGCTTTGATTTAGTTTCTTATACAATTTCTCACGTGATCTAATATTTTTTTCTCTTTTCGGGTGATAAATTATATAAAAACTATACAGTTGTTCTTTTTTTCCGAGCGCTTTCGGCTATACATTTAGCCATTTTCAATGTTTAAATATATTAACTGTTAACAAGAAATAGATTGTTGTATATATGTATTTTTATAATGTTTTAATTTTCAAAACACGGTCAAGATATTGTATCCATGTTCATCGTTGATATTATTGAGTGTGTTTTTTATTTGTTTTTATTAATAAAGATTCCATTATTTTTATCCTTTTTTGCATGTAGATGATGCTATTATATTTGTGTTGTCAACAAGTATGTTACGAATAGGATCTGGTAGGTTTCCATGACTATTTAAATGAGATGTAATAGAGCTATGGTCAGAAAGATGTAGCGTGAGTCTTCGTGTCAAATATGTTGTAGTATGGCCTATATAATTATCAACGAATTCTGATTGATAAAGGATACAAGTCCTTAATGGAATTTAAATTCGTAAATAATATTTGCCCTATTTAATTCTGTTCTAAGAGATTAGTTATTATTTTTAACTATAAGTGTAGAGGTTTTAAATATTTTTTGTAATAAATAATTAATCTAATTTTTTGCTATTGTCTACTGGTGCTGTGCATTTTTTTAATAATATTCTTAATTCCAGTACATCTTTCTGACCATAGCTTTGGCAAGAAGCGGAGGTTTTCAGTATTGTCAGCAAATCGTTTTACACATGACGTCAATTATACGAAACGCGTATATTTAAAATAAGTTGAATTGTAGTGTTCAAAATAAATGCCAGGGCGTAGCCGACAGAATCTTGTCTATCGATAGTAGTATAATTTTTAGCAATGAGGGAGATAGAAAAATGTAGTTGAGCTTAATCAGAAAGAATCCGGAACTTTGTCTAATTTATCTACAATTTTAACTGGAATGTACATCTTAGTCAAAATTGATAAAATACAATAAACATTAAACAAACAGATCTTGTACGTGAAATTTAATAAAATTCGTCACACACACACACACATATATGCATATGTATAATCGGATAAGGAACAAATACGAAACGTTAATAAATTTGACATGTTTCGCCTTTATTTAAGCTTCATCAGAAAATGAAATTTTGGTATTTTTTTATTTTTATATTGTTTGTTTTTCATTGGTTGAGCAAATCTCACGTATATGTGTGTTGCAAAAAACGTTCCTGTGTATAATCCATGTGTCTGTGTGCGTATCACAAATCTAGTTGATCTATGCAAGAATCGGTTGATAATGTGTATGCGTGCGTTTGTACGTCTAGTGGGAATTTATAGTGATTTTCCAAGTGTAGCTTAGATGTGGAACAAGGCCGAAAGTAGGAGGCACCCAGTTGAGGATCGAACTCACCACTCAGTCGTAATTGTTCTAGCGAGACAAACTCGCTAACCATTACACCACCTCGGGGTACCCTTAGTGGGAATTTATATTACTGTCTGGTAGTGTTCCTATGTTTATTTGGTGATGTTTTGTGTGGGAGTGTAAGAACTTAAGTCACGCCGGTCGTGGACGCAGGAAGACAGATCTTAAATTCTTTAAGTACGGGTTTTATAAAAGTTGATGATATAATAATGTGTGTTTCTCGTGTGCTTATAGATGGTAATATATTCATCAGGATTCCTTCTAAGTATTTCTTACGTAATAAGTATTCCTCGTTTCCTGTTTAGGATTAGGTTTCCGGTTCCTTTTAAAGTCTTTTCATTCTCTTTCGCCCCCAGTAGTCCATTGCGTCTGATAGATATTATCTCCTTGCTTGAGATAGATTTATTTTTTTTAAGTTAAGATAGTTATTAGTTCTACGGGAGGTACCTTATCATATGTGAGGAGTATAAATAGTTATTAAGTTTTGTTTAGTCTGACACAAGGCAGCAATAATGCGAGTAGACTGAACTGATATTCTCGCAATAACCTAAACGTCAGGCGCTTCATCGTGCAAATCAGGATTGAAAATCCCTAATTCTGGTAAAACCCCAAGAATAAGTTCTCTTATAGACTCATTGAAGGGATTCCTTGTAGCCCCTTCCTTAAAGAAATACAAAAAAATTGTTCTCACGAGTACAGCCAACATCTTGCGAAGGGCTTTGTCTCTGTAAAATATGTGCTTTTTTTTTAATTGGTCAGTGGAAAATGTCATGATGCCATTTCTGACCTTAGGTCTCTGTGCAGACCTGGAAAGAAATAAGTACACACCACAAATCAAAAGAAATAATCGTAATAATAATAATAATGCGTATGAACATTTGATACAAGCTTTTCCGGTTCGGTCTAGTTCCCTGTAACCGTTTTATAAACGGTGCCTTAATTTGGTTTAAATGAAATATTATGAAAATACCATGATGTAGCCAAGAAAACAAATATACTCTCTACCACACTTGGCAGCACCCAGGTCTTTATAATGACTTGGACAAAAGCAGAACAAAACATGAATTTTGGATTGTTTATAGACACACACTTGGGGTTGTGGAAAAGATCTTTGTCAGACACAATTCATAAAATTTGACAAAATAATTTAACATAAGAATTTAGATGATAATCCCGTCATCGGACATTTAGCATTCGAATATATGATAAAACTTGTTAGAAACAAATGAAATATAAATGAATATGTTTAAAAAATAGATGGACCGATAGATGATCACACAGATACATCTGGTATGTACTGGTAAAGCAATATATATATATATATATATATATATATATATATATATATATATGTTTGAATAAAAAACAGACCACTTTAAGGTTCCATGTAATAAATTATTTCACGACAGCCCTTTTAAAGGGCTCTGGATCATCAGACTTTACTTCCAAAGGTTGAAATGAAAAATGCCATATTTGCTCTGAATTTACGTTGAGCTCTCCAGATATCATCCTCCTTGGGTCTACCCATACGGATTACCTAGTTTTGCATAAACTATATATATATATATATATATATATATATATATATATATATATATATATATATATATATGGTGAATAAGTTCGTTAAAAATTGTCCTACGGTAGGCGTTGAATGTTCCTATTTCAAAATTCAGTACGTGAAATGTTAAATATCAATTGAAATTAATACGAAACAATCGTACCATATACCAACTGAGCACATAACACTGAAAAGCCAAAACCAATAAACAAAAATAAATATAAAAAGAAAGAGAGAATGAATAGGCCAATAACATATTTGATAGATCATCGGAATGGTGTTTTTGAGTAATATGACAGCGCCCGGCCAATAAGTCCGATTTACACAAGGATATTGATGTCAAAGTTCCGTCAGACGGAATCTGTGGGATGATATTTAAGCGAACAGAAAAAGAGAAAGAGAGAGAATGAAAAAGAAAGCAATCGCGCGCTACTCACAAAACAAAGATGGCTTCTATTCTTGACGCAAGGCATTAAGAGGGCAAGTGAACAGTGATACAATAAACGAACCTTGAGATGGACAGAATAATGGCTGAAGGCAGAGAGAAGAGAGTTGAAGTATTTCTTACAATTAATATTCTTTGCCATAATAAAGTGGCAGGAAGAGTATTACGGGTTACTGATATTGTTGTTTGTCGTTGTAAAACGATGCGTGTTTCGAATATCCAGAACATAACGAATTGAGAAACGTGGGACAGCATCCCCTAAAAAAAACCTCTAGTTCATTATTTTGCCTCTGTGTATATTGCCTGATGATTTTTTGTCTGTTTTCCCACAAATCACACATCCGTTCGATTAACTAAAAAGCCAGTCCATCTTTACATCTATATGTCAGCTAGCTTGTCTATCGGACTCTGTCAGTAATTTCATGTTTTTATATTCACTTTACTATTAACACCTTTATATATACATATATATATATATGTGTGTGTCTGCGTGCGTGTTAACATATATATATATATATATATATATATATATATATATATATATATATATATATATATATATATATGTAAGGGTAATGAATCTGTTGGTATATAATCGAAGTTGATTCTAGTAATATAACATATTAAAACTGATCGACAAAAAGAGCTCAATGTATTTATTATTACAGAGCAAATGATTAATACACAATAAAATCCCAAGTCACCTCACATGGGGAATAAGCTTATTTCAACCGACGAAATTCGTCAGTTTTATTCAACCCCGGTATAGACTGAGTTCATGTTGGAATTAGAAATTTAACTATCAAAGCTACAAAAAACGAACAGACCGGGATAGATAGATAGATAGATAGATAGATAGATAGATAGATAATGAACAGACCAAGATATATATAGAGATAGATAATGAGTGAACAGTCCGAAGTAGATAGATGAAGAACAGATCGAGATGAATAGATAGACAGATAGATAGATATATAGATAGATAGATCTTGAAAAATCATTGTCCTTCTAAAAAAAAAAAAAGTGTTAATGCAATATACACTCGCACAGCAAAGAATCCTTTTTACAATCCCCAAAATCTTTCGGCTTTAAATAAGCCTCAAATGCTTGATAAGGCACAAAAACAAATCAATAAATCAAACTAAACGACTGAATACTGTTGCCGTTATCAAAGAAATCGCTTCTTTAGAAGGAAACTTCAAAAGACAAAGACACAGTTGAAAAAAAGTGTTTGTGAAGAAAAATGTACGTTGGAAAAACGCAGATGTAACCTGCTTTTTGCACCCCGCTAGTATAACAAAGGCAAACCCGATATTTAGACAAATATCGCAAGTTTATTCTTTATCTCGACTGAGAGAGAACTGGGACAGACATTTTAAAAAAATACGTAGATTACAAGCTTAGCACCCCGCTGGATACGACTCTCTTCATCTCCATGGGAGCAACGTTTCTTCTCTTAGGTCTGGTCTGTCCAAATAAATAGCGTTTCCTTATCTGTTCCCTGCCCATTTTAATTTGGTCTCCCACTGATCAGAGGTCACACCAAGACGACAATTTTAGCTTGCAACAGTTGCCAATTCATTTGACAGGTGCAACTCGACATGTATAGGTTATTTGCAAATATATATATATATATATATATATATAATCTTGTTTGTGAAAAGGACATTTTAAAATAGACTATATTAAGTGTAAGATGATAAATTATATCCGACAGGAAGGCCTCTGAATAGGAGTTTTTGAGGTGCGTGGAACCACTTCTTAATTGTTGGTGTTCCTAGGTCCACCCTGAGCCGGGTGGTAGCACCTGTTAGGGGTCTCACCTATGGGCAAACGTTGAACTTCCAAACTAGGTTCAAAACACTATGAAAGTGTAAAAATTGGTTTTAATAAAAGCAATTGAAATTCGAAAAAAGATAATAAACTACAAGCAATACATTTTTGAAAAAAAAAATTACTAGTAATAAAAATCTTGTCGGCGTTAAATAACCCATTGAGGTTGATATGCCGTAAAAAGAAACCAAACCAAACCTAAAAAAAAATCTGGCTGGCAAGATTTTTTTTGGGTTTGGTTTGGTTTCTTTTATTGCATATCGAGATGAAGAGTAGGAAGACTCAACCAAATATGACTACCTTCAACAAAAGACATTCACAGACTAGGAATAAATTAGTTTACAGCTCTTTTGAATATGAAACCAGAAAAAAAGACCAAAGTGTAATTATGTCGGATATTTATAACAGTTTCATTATATACTTTCTTTTATCCGATAAAATGGCCATTCATTTCAGTTCCTCGTTCGTTCCTCTCTTCGCAATATATATATATATATATATATATATATATATATATATATATAGAGAGAGAGAGAGAGAGAGAGAGGAGATGGGAGGGAGAGAGGAGAGAGGAAGAGAGGGGGAGATGGGAGGGATATAGAAGGGTGAGAGGAGAGAGAGGGGGAGAAGGAGAGTGGTGGGAGGAAATCGCGTTATTTTGTGTGCACCACGGATGACAATAAAGTCGCTTTTCCTTGTATCTTGCATGTCTAATACTAAACTCATGTCATTTTAATGGTTTTATGGCCGTATTTTCAGGCAATGCTTTCTTTGAAACCGGTCTAAAGTGGGTCTGGTATTTTCTTCTGCAAGCATCCCAAACCGAACGCTTTGATGTCATTTCCCTCCGATACTAACACGAGACAACGAAAAAACATATGGATAGATATGAATAAAATGTGATAGAAAGAATGAGACTTTGTATGGTATGTTTCATACCTTAAACGATCAACTCTCATGATAGATAGATAGATAGATATAGATAGATAGATAGATAGATAGATAGATAGATAGATAGATAGATAGATAGATAGATAGATGGGTATTTAGCTAGCTATATATAGACTGTGATAGATAGATAGATAGATAGATAGATAGATAGATAGATAGATAGATAGATAGATAGATAGACTAGGGTATATAGCTAGCTATATATAGACTGTGATAGATAGATAGATAGATAGATAGATAGATAGATAGATAGATAGATATACATACTAGGGTATATAGCTTGCTATATGTAGACTGTGATAGATAGATAGATAGATAGATAGATAGATAGATAGATAGATAGATAGATAGATAGATAGATAGATAGATAGACGGGTATTTAGCTAGCTATATATAGACTGTGATAGATAGATGAATAGGTAGATAGATAGATAGATAGATAGATAGACTAGGATATATAGCTTGCTATATGTAGACTGTGATAGATAGATAGATGAATAGATATATACTAGGATATATAGCTTGCTATATGTAGACTGTGATAGATAGATAGATGAATAGATAGATAGATAGATAGATAGATAGACTAGGGTATATAGCTAGCTATATATAGACTGTGATAGATAGATAGATAGATAGATAGATAGATAGATAGATAGATAGATAGATAGATAGATAGACGGGTATTTAGGTAGCTATATATAGACTGATAGATAGATAGATAGATAGATAGATAGATAGATAGATAGATAGATAGATAGATAGACTAGGGTGTATAGCTAGCTATATATAGACTGTGATAGATAGATAGATAGATAGATAGATAGATAGATAGATAGATAGATAGATAGATAGAGTTCCAGCGCCTTACGAGGCTGGCATCCCGCTCTCACCACTTCACTGTCGAAACTCCTAAATGTAGCCGTCTCTTCTACTCTAATAGCTTCATGTCTCGCACCTCTCGCCTGTGGAACTCCCTTCCCTTCTCCTGTTTCCCTGTAAGCTATAATCTCCAGCTATTCAAGTGTAATGTCAATCGACATCTCCAGTTGCCTTGATCTATCCACTACCCTCATCCTTTCTTCTATCACTCCTATCTGATCTTGCTCTAAACTTTCTGTAACCCCTTGCGTCCTAGTGGCTTCCCGCCTTGCTTGGGGTGAAATGCTTAAAAAAAAAAGATAGATATATTAGGGTATATAGGTAGCTATATAGATAAATAGATTAGGGTATATAGCTAGCTATATAGATTAGGGTAGATAGATAGATAGATAGATAGATAGATAGATAGATAGGAAGAGACTAAAGTAGATATAAACAAAGTGTGTTGAAAGACTGAGACAGGTAGATATGTATAAATCCATACAAACTTAGAAATATATATATATATATATATATATATATATATATATAGAGAGAGAGAGAGAGGGGGGGAGGAGGGAGATGGAGAGAGAGAGAGAAAGGAAGAAATGGAGTGATGGATTTGAAAGAAGAGAAAGAGATAGATAAATAGATTACATCGTCTTTCAGAATATCCCTAATGGTATGCTTGTACGGGAATATTTCACTCGAGTCCTTTGTCGGTGTGTGCTTTTTTGCCTGCCTTTGCATGACATATTATGTACAAGATGGAAGTCTGTAAACAAAAGCCTCTCTCCACGATGGCTAAACGAAAGAAGGTCTTCATTCATTTGCTTCTCCAGAAGCAACCATTCATCCTGTCTGTCTGTCTCTGTATCTCTGTCTGTCTGTCTGTCTCTGTGTCTCTGTCTGTCTGTCTGTCTCTGTCTGTCTATGTGTCTCTGTCTGTCTGTCTGTCCGTCTCTCTCCTTATCATTTTTCTCCTCATCGTTTCTTACAAGTCTTTCCATCATCTACCGATCGACCTCTGTCTACCGATCTAAGTATATGTTTTTTTCGTATGTATCTCGTACTGTTTGAATATCGTCATCTTAGTTTGTTCATAGTCCCCTAGGTTTCTTTTTTTTTTCTTCTTTGTTAATCATTTCACCCCAAGTAAGACAAAAAAGCCCCTAAAACGCAAAATGTTACTGACTGTAAAAGAATATGAGATAAAGAAAAACATCACTAAGAAAAAGTAAAAAAAAAACACGATTTAAGAAAACAGAAGATAACGATTGATATTGCATTTAAACTTTTGAAGATTAAACTTAACTGGGACGTAAGAAACCAGAAGAGATTTACGGTTGCATCTAGCAATTTTATTTGTAAAATGATGAGACCTAGCTTCCAATCTAGTACTGCGTTTAAATTCGTAAATTTGCGGCATTAAAAAGGAAAGCTCATTAGAACAATAACCATGAAAATATTTATAGAAAAAGCACAGGAAGGCTACGTTATGGAGGTGGAAAAATAATTGAAGCATATTGTGTATTCATAGATATATACCTACCCCAGTCTATTCATAACTACTGCTCTCAGTTCCTTCACATCTCTCTTAATTTAGTTTATTTGTAGATCTGCTGTTCTAATCCTTTTCTTCTCATAACAATACAACCAACTCTTTCTAACATCTATCTATCTATCTATCTATCTATCTATCTATCTATCTATCTATCTATCTATCTATCTGTTATGGTCCGGTTCCTTGTACCACGGTGATAGTCCAAGGTAGAACCAATAAAGAAGAACTCGAAGGCGGATATGGAATAACACAGATATATTACAAACAGGAATATATGCAGAGAGGTAGAAAGTGTCAGTACGAACAATCAGGTTTAGTAGTAATTGTCTGAACGCGACTCTGTTTCGGACTGCCTCTGACTCGGCTGACTGACTCGCTCGCTCTGACTAACTGACAGACTCCTGACGGACTTCACTCCAGACTTCAGACTGAACTCTAGACTTCAGACGGAACGATATTCAGTCACCCTCCCACGAGGGCGTCATGTGGCACAAGGCCTTTTTAACGTGGGATCTCCGAGCCCGTGGGCTCGCCCAAAAATATGCCCATTGAACACGTAGAAACGGGTTCAGGGTCGGTTTACCTCCCCGAAAGAGAATCCGCACTTCGGCGTAGCCTCGTTCGAGTTCCTCCCCGCCCGAAGGCAGAGAGTTCAACCGATCAGCCGATCAGCCGGACGACCGACTTCGGACTGAACGGTATTTAGTCACCCCCCCTACGAGGACATCATGTGGCACAAGGCCGGTTTAACGTGGGATCTCCGAGCCCGTGATCTCGGCTAAAAATATGCCCTTTGAACCCGTATAAACGGGTTTAGGGTCGGTTTACCTCCCCGAAAGAGAATCCGCCCTTCGGCGTAGCCTCGATCGGGTTTCTACCCGCCCGAAGGCAGAGAGTTCAACTGATCAGCCGGTCGCCCGACTTCGGACTGAACTCCCTGCTTCCTCTTGAGGCGCAGTATTTATTACGTATGGAATACTCCATTATGTTATTATGTGTAAGGTCCCATAACACTATCCTTCTATCCTTACTGTTCATAGCTATCTATTTATTCATGTAGTTTTTGAGTGGATAAATGAAATCGCCAAATATGTTGCAGGGAACATAGACCCCGTGCCTGACGAACTGAAAACACCACCCAGCGAAACGATAGTCGCACGCCAAAAACGTAGGTTGGCTTATATCTACTAATTAATACGTATTTATTTATGTATCTATCTATCAATTTTAAAATGTTCATCATAATGTGCGTATCTTAAACATATCTACCTTCTGTGATAACTTTCTTTCCTTTTCCCTAATTAGTACGCACCGCGTCTGGTCAGTCATGTGATCCTTAACGACCAATCAGCAGAGCCCTATCTTTGCAGAAGTACAAATTTTCATAGACACCTGTGAGAGAAAATATGTTCAGATGGAACTAGAACATTCTACTCCAGTGAACGAAATAAAGGGTTCGAATCGAAATTCCAACGTCTATCAACTGAAGAAAAGCCGGGGCGTATAAACGCCGAAATTTTGTGAATATATATTTTTTTTTCTTTTTAAGCATTCAACCTTAAGCAAGGCGGGAAGCCACTATCACTCAATGGGTTACAGAGAGCCGGGGCGAGAGGAAAGGATGAAGAGAAGGTTAGGGGATAGATCAGGGCATCTGGAGATGTCGATTGACATTACATTTGAATTTGAATAGTTGGAGATTATAGCTATCAGGGAAACAAGAAATGGGGAGGGAGTTCTACAGGCGAGAAGTGCGAGACATGAAGCTATTGGAGTAGAAGAGACGGCTACATTTAACATTTTCGACAGCTGAACGCTTAACTAGGCTGGCATCTCGCTCTCACAAAGATGAGGACAACAGTCCGAACAATGTAAATAGTGTAGATATATTCTTTTTTTTTTTAATTTTTTTAATTCCTGAAAAACTTAACGAAAATCTCTTCTTTTATTCATCTCTGTCTGTTCGACTGCCGAAATTAAGATCGTCCAGCCCACCAGCACTTTGATTGGAGACCGCTTAGGAACATTGGATAGTGGAAGCAACTTCCTATAACCCGAAATAGCTTTCGTTTTTAAATAATCCACAAAGGAAAAGGGTGGATAAGCCATAAACACACACCAGCCAATCATTATCCCTGTCTTTTAGAGTGAAACACACCTATTATATAGTTAATAGACTCTCCCACCTAATATAAGTAGGAGTAGTAATAGAAACGGCGGTCAGTCGGTGAGTCGATGTCGGACAACCGTTAGTCGGATATTAAAGTATCAGCGACCACAATTAGATTACTCTGCGTCATTACCTATTATATCAAGTTCCTAACGTTTTGTACGTCGAACCTATTTTAGGACCGACTTAGTACAAATACAAGCCTCCACTGCGAAATCACTCCACAACACTGTCTAAATTAACCTATGAGCTTTTTTTTTTTTGTTTTGATTTTTTTCTTTTCTTTTGTTTTTAGGTAAAATGTTTTAAGGAAAATGGAAACAATAAAACCTTTATACTTAGAACCAGAAAGTTACAGTTGAAACCTCTAAGGAACATAATGAGGAAAGAAGGCTTGGAGAATTCAACACAGACGCGCTTTGGCCGTATAGGGATTAGGAGGGATAGGGAAAAGGCAAAAATTATTAAGCGCTACAAATATCAAGAAGTTGTGGAGAGCCATG